CTTCTCTTCTCTCCTCTCCCCTTCCCCTTCCTTCTTCTCCTCTCCCTTCCCCTTCCCCTTCCCTTGTGGTGGTGTTTTTGGGGCCTGGAATGGATTAACAGCATTTTAAGTCATTTAAGTGGGGTGTCTGATTTGACATAAGAGCAACTTGAGTTAGGAGCTCCGTCACAGAACAAATTAACCTTGCAAGTCAATGCATCAGCGTTTTTGTGCCAAGCTGAGGAGTGTGGGGTTTCAGGCTGTGTGTGTGTTTCCTGGTGAGAATGCCAGAGTTTCCCTTGAGGCGCATGGGTTCTGGAGGACGTGGTCAGTATACTCATCCCTGCCTTGGGTGTCTCACCAGAAAAGTGAGATATCAGGGTGACTAATGGCATATTTTGAGAGGGAAAAAAAAGATGTTAAGCAACTGCAGTTTTGATTCCAGGGAGTGGGATGGACTGCTTTCAGTGGCGTTCCACCTAGAAGCCGCATGGCCAGAAGTGGGGTGACCTGTTTCACCGGAGGGGGGGCACAGGGGGCTGCCTGCGTGTGACACATCCTTGATTCTCCCTTTCCTCCTTCCTTCCAGGTGAGCCGAAGCGGGAGCCCCCAAAATGGCCGGCGCCTCCGTCAAAGTGGCCGTGCGGGTGCGCCCTTTCAATGCCCGCGAGATCAGCCGGGAGGCCAAGTGCGTCATTCAGATGCAGGGAAACACCACCTGTAAGTCCCTGTTTGGGTTCCTTTCCTCCCTCTGTCCTTTGAAGCCAAACGACACGCTCGGGATGCAGTTTACTTTCCGGGGTCCTTTGTGGGTGCAGAATGTCAACCTTAGCAGGAAGGGGCTCAAAGACTAGCCGGAAGGGGTAGGCTGTTAGGAATTGTGGCAGTTGAAGCCCATAACACCTGGAGGCCTGAAGTTTACCCATGTCTGGGTTGTTGTAGGTTTTTCGGGCTAGATGGCCATGTTCTAGAAGCATTCTCTCCTGACGTTTATTTATTTACGACATTTATATGCCGCCCTTCTCACCCCTAAGGGGACTCAGAGTGGCTTACAAAGTATATATACATACAATACACTATACTCTTGGCATACTGTTTAATATCAGCATTAAACACTGCTATATTGTACTATACCAATTATATTGTAATATTACATGTAATATTACATGTCATATAAATATATAATTACAATATCATATTATATTGTATTGTATTGTATTATCTTGCATTATAATATCAGAAATATTAAATGTATATACAATATATTATATTATATTATATTATATTATATTATATTATATTATATTATATTATATTATATTATTAGAATAGCACAGGAGACAAGGTGGAACTGTCCCCTGTCCAGGATGTCCCCCTCTTCACTCTGGCCCACGTTTGGCTGCATCTATGGCAAGCATCCTCAGAAGTTGTGAGGTCTGACCTCACAACCTCTGAGGATGCTTGCAATGGATGCAGGCAAAACGTCAGGAGAGAATGCTTCTAGAACATGGCCATATAGCCCAAAAAACCTACAACAACCCAGTGATTCTGGCCATGAAAGCCTTTGACAATACATTGCCCATGCCTGCTCTAGTGTGACATGTCTCATCCTACTGGAACATCTTTCCCCAACACACGGGACTACAACATCCAGCATCTTGTTGGGTATTCAGTGGTATCCGTCCTAGTTGTAGGTGCATGCCATTTGCAGCAGAAAAGCCTTGACACCATTTTGTGTGTGTCCCTTTTCCCTGATATCTCTTTCCTTGTAGCCTCGGGCCCAATTTTGAGAGGAACACAACAAAATATCGCAGCCTTTCAAAACCAGGGCAGGACTCCTGACCACTTTGAGTTTTTTCCTCCACTCATCTTTGGTATTTCCAGCCAGAGACTGGTTCCCTGGACCCATGAAATCTGCAACAAATCCTCCAGTTTTCATTTGGGAAGCCTTGCTTTGAAGGAGAGGGGGCTTCGGGGGGGGGGGGGGGGGGGGGGGGGGGGGGGGGGCTTTTTCCCCGGCCGGAAAGCCGGCCTCCGTGTGTCCCTCTCCCTCCTTCCATCCCGGTGGCGTCAGGATTAATTCAACTTAGATGAGCCCCAAAAGATGTTTTCCCAACCTGTTTGGATAAGCCAGCCGGACCCCTCCCTCCCAGGCATTCCTTCCTCTGCCATGTTTTACCTGCCGCTTTCCTCTCAAAAGCAGCCAGGAGAACCGCCAGCCAATCCCACCACAGCAACTTTGGGATGAGTTTTGTTAAGGGTTTAGCAGGACTTTTGTCCTTGCCTGAGAAAAACCTTCTGGAATGCATGGGTCCCCAATAGGTCAACTTGAAGGGACACAAACCCCACACCGGATCTGATCCCTTTTGCCAAAACGCTGCAAGGGAGAACTTCCAGAGAATGGGGAAGAGGGTCTTTTTGGACTTTTAATTAGAGGCTGTCGGGACCATCTTTAAGTCCACTTTGGGTAGATAAAGCATAATAATAACAACAACAACAACAAGTGTAGGCTCTCCAAGGAAGCAAACGAAACAATGGATCACATCTTCTCGTAAGAAGATCGTGCAGACAGACTACAAGCGGAGGCACAACACCGTTGCTCAGGTGATTCATTGAAACTTATGCCTGCCACAAAGAACTGGTGGGGTCACAAGCCGGAAAAAGTTACAGAAAACGAGCACATCAAGCTACTCTGGGACTTCCGGATTCAGACAGACAGAGTTTTGGAGCACAACACTCCTGACCTCACAATCGTGTTAAAAAAACAAAGTATGGATCGTCGCTGTTGCAATCCCAGGTGAGAGCAGGATTGAAGAGAAGCAACTGGAAAAGCTGACATGATATGAGGATTTAAAGATCGAACTGCCAAGACTGGCACAAGCTGGAATGTGTCCAGAGGAGGGTGACTAAAATGATCAAGGGTCTGGAGAACAAGCCCTATGAGGAACGGCTTAAGGAGCTGGGCATGTTTAGCCTGAAGAAGAGAAGGCTGAGAGGAGATATGATGAGGGCCATGTATAAATATGTGAGAGGAAGCCACAGGGAGGAGGGAGCAAGCTTGTTTTCTGCTTCCTTGGAGACTAGGACGCAAGGGAACAATGGCTTCAAACTACAAGAGAGGAGAGTCCATCTGAACATGAGGAAGAACTTCCTGACTGTGAGAGCCGTTCAGCAGTGGAACTCTCTGCCCTGGAGTGTGGTGGAGGCTCCTTCTTTGGAAGCTTTTATACAGAGGCTGGATGGCCATCTGTCAGGGGTGATTTAAATGCAATATTCCTGCTTCTTGGCAGAATGGGGTTGGGCTGGATGGCCCAGGAGGTATCTTCCAACTCTTTGAGTCTATGATTATAAGGTAATTGGTACACTGGGTGCAGTGCCTCAAGACCTTGGCCTGCACTTAAACCCAATCGGTGCTGACAAAATTATCATCTGTCAGCTGCAAAAGGCCATCCTACTTGGATCTGCACACATTGTTCACTGATACATCACACAGTCCAAGAAGCTTGGGAATGGTCCGACATGTGATCAAATACAAAAGCCAGCAGAGTGGTCTCGTTTGCTGTGAACTAATCTTGTTGTGTATCATCAAATAATACTACTACTAATAATAATAACAACAACAACAACAACAACAATAAAAACCAAGAAAACTCATAATTCATTCATTCCTCGCAGTGATGTTGACCGGCTCTGTCTGCCTAGAAAGTCTGGTGGTAGAGGACTCTTACAAGTCAAACAAGCAGTCGAAGAAGAAAAACATGAAGCCCTGGCAGAAGATGTCAAGGAAAGCCAAGAACCTGCTTTAATTAAAGTCAATAATCGGAAGCTTCTCCAAGCACAGCAGACAAAGAGTCAGTACAAGAAAACTGCACTCCAAACCAGGGATGTCAGCTGGCACCACAAAGCATTACATGAACAGTTCCTTGACAAAATTGAAGGAAAAGCTGATAAGGAGAAGACCTAGTGATGGCTCACAAATGGGAACCTGAAGAAGGAGACAGAAGAAGGCCTGGTTCTTGCAGCCCAGGAGCAAGACAGCAGAACCAATGCCGTTAAGGCCAGGATCGAAAAATCAGCGGGTGACCCAAAATGCAGACTGTGCAAGGAAGCCGATGAAACCATGGACCATCTGCTAAGCTGCTGCAAGAAAATCGCACAGATGGACTACAAACAGAGGCACAAATCTGTGGCCCAGATGATTCACTGGAACTTATGTCACAAGGTCCACATGCCAGGAGTAAAGAACTGGTAAAGGGATCATAAAACTGCAAAGGTCGTGGAAAATAAGTATGCAAAAATACTGTGGGGCCTTCGAATCCAGACTGATAAAATTTTGGAACACAATACACCAGGCATCACAATTGTGGAAAAGAAAAAACGTTTGGATTATGGATGTCGCCATTCCAGGTGAGAGTCGCATTGAGGAAAAACAACAGGAAAAACTCAGCCGCTATCAAGACCTCAAAACCGAATGGCAAAGGCTCTGGCGGCATCAACCAGTCCAGGTGGTCACTGGGTGCCATGCGAAAAGATCTCAGCCGGCATTTGGAAACAATGAACATTGACAAAATCATGACCTGTCACCTGCAAAAGGCCACCTGACTTGGATCTGCGCGCATCATTCGAAAATACATCACACAGTCCTAGACGCTTGGGAAGGGTTCAACTTGGGATTTTGTGATATGAAATCCAGCATGGAGATCTCCTTTGCTGTGACATACTGCGCTTTTGTGTCAATAATAATAATAATAATAATAATAATAATAATAATAATAATACTTTATTTATATTCCGCTCTATCTCCCCAAAGGGATTCAGGGCAGATTCCAAACATAAAAGGCATAAAACATTCAATGCCCGAATACATCAATACATCCAAACTAACAAAATAAACATATAAACACAAATTATGACTTAACAACTAAATTTAAATAAAAAAACACAGCCTATTATATCAGACATAACATCAAATGGAAACAATAATTTCCCATTTTCAGGACATGAGAGAAGCTTCCCACAAGGATGATAAAAACATCAAAATCATCCGGGCGTCCCCTGGGCAACGTCCTTGCAGGCAGCCAATTCTCTCACACCAGAAGCAACTTGCAGTTTCTCAAGTCGCTCCTGACACGACAAAAAAAAGGGGGGGAAGGGGGAAGCATTGCTTTCTCCTGGGAATTCCCAGGAGTTTGAAACCAAGCTGCAGGGTGGAGCCCTCTTTACATGAGCAGAGTCCTGCAATTTTGGTTCAAATTGCAGAGAAAAGAATTCTTTTTGCATGTGTGTGTGTCATGCCAGAGGGATTTTGAGCCCAAGCCAACAAAAGTTTCTGCAGAAGAAGAAAAATGCCAGGAGGCTGGAAATCTTGTTCAGGAAGATTTCTCTTTTCCAATTGACATCCATCTCTTGACTGACATTTGGAAAGACTCAGTGAAAAAGACCTTGTCTTTACAGCTGTCCGTGCCAGTTGATCTATCATCGGTCGTGCCAATTTGGACTCAGGCTCGCTCAGTGATCTCCAAGGCTCTCGGGTCATCCAGAGCCCATGCTCAGGTCTCGAGGACTCAGGGCAGCCATGGCTTCTTTGAGGGACCCAATCTGCATCCAAGGCAGCTCTCCTCTTTCCCTGCTTGTCACCATGAGCTACCACCTCACCCGCCTCATAGGAAACCTGCTACAAAACAGGAGCTTTTTCGTTGAGTTCCAGGGCCAGAGAAGCA